TCATCCGTGCTACACAAGTGACCTCGTCGCCACGTGCGAGGCCAAGCCGACGAGCTCGCGGCGCGCGGGTTGCATCTTCCCGGTGGCGCGGATCCATCGATTTCTCAAGTCGCGCGGGGACCTGGACACCGAGAGCCCCCCGGCTCTTGGTGATGGTTATGGCCATGGCGTTTTTTTTGGGTGATAAGGTATGTGATGGTTCTGAAGATGAGTCTGCGGGTTCAAGTTCAAGGGAGGTTGTGTGGTCTTGAAAGACTGCCTGGACCTGGACCTGTTTGGACCTGTATTGTACTGAATCGGCGAAGCTCGGATATTCAGAAGAGGACAAAAATGAGGTACACTTTCCATGAGTTTGAGTGTTTGGCTTTAAAGCCATGTGCGAACATCCCAAGGTGGTTTGAGCCCTAGCTCGGCGATACAAAAGATGAAAGCACCCCTGAAAAGGTGGCAAGCACCCGAGCTTGGATGCAGCTGCAACGTTGAGTTCAGGTATGTAGCAACTCATTGAAGACGAACAGTCGGATTGGGTGGATTTTCTCAGACGAACCGGACACGAAACACACTGGTCCTTTTAACACTCCGCGTTCTCGCATCACTCCTTTTGTATGCCCAATCCGAGTCTGGGAAGACTAGACAGACAGAGTCAGACAGCGCTATGGCCATAGAGTGAGGTACGCGACAGCCAAGTGCCGAGTGGGTGGCTCTGCTGGCATTTTCACAGCAGCGGTGATGGAGTACTTGGCTGCCGAGGTGAGAGTTCCTCCGCCGGTTCTTGAGAATCAGTTTGTGGATACCCCGCAGAGGCAAAAGGCAAAGGTGACTTGCTGCTTTTGTTGAAAGAACCGCTTGTCCCTCGCTCCGCGAAAAAAACCATTCGCCCGATCATGCTGCACACTTGAGGGGGGAGAGCCCGGGCCCGTCCGAACCGGACCACGTCTCGCCGGGGACCGAAGGTCTTCGGAACCCCCGACGGAACGCCAGACCTTCGCGTCCACTGATCCACGTCGACTCGAACGGAAGCGGAGCGATGTGGGGCGGTTTCCGCTCGGCTGACGTCAGGTGCTCGAATTGGCCGGCAACGTGTGCCAGGCAGACGGGACCGTGATTGACACGGTCCAAACAAGTCCGAAGTGGGTGTTCCCAATGGTTTTCATTTGCATGTCTTTGTGAACGCTTGTTGTTCAGATTGTTCAACAGTTAAACAAGGTATTTCTCCCATTTCAAAATAGTGTGGTATGATTGGATTTTCATTCGAGATGTCACCCTATCAGCACCAAAGCAGTTCGGCACAGCAAGACTTGAAGATGTACACCAAAGACTCATAAAAAATCTCTCTCTCTCTATATATATATACTAACATAATATCTATATTGCAAAGAAGAGGGATGAGCTGTTGTCATGCTGTTGAACATTTTTTGTCCGACTGATGCGTTTCTCTCCGTTTTTCAGCCCAAGTTTGTGATGCTTTCAGCTGGCAGCTCATGTACGCTCTCTCAGCTCCCTTTGTCCGTTTGCCGTGCTCCTTACAGTTGAGCACGGTGGGCCCAAAAATGTGTCGTCCCAGGACTACCACCTGAAGCGCATTACTCCCCGGCATTTGCAGATCGCCATCCGTGGCGACGAAGAGCTCTCCAGTCTCGTGAAGGCGGTGCGACCGGACCGAGCCGGGCCTCGCCAGGCCGACCTTTGAAGGAACCTGGGCTATTAGAATACCGTGGCCAGTTTTGCATGCAGAACGAAGAAGCTTTCTGTAGGCTTTTCTGCATGTTGCGTGTCCGAGAGAGCCACAAGAAGAGGCTTCAACCCCAACAAAGGGGGCCCCGGTTGTTGGTGCACGAAGCGTGGCGACGCGTGGCGAAGCGTGGCGAAGCGTGGCGAGTGGGACGGACCGTGGTCGAACGAACTCACTCGGGAGGCCACCATTGCTGGTGGTGGTGTGGTGCCGAACATCAACAAAGCTTTGTTCCCGGGCATCCGGCTTCGAGAATCCGAGACTTACAAGGCCGGGACCTCGTCCGAGAAAAAACCAAGACGGTTCATCGTGCGTGGGGTGGCAGGGCCAAGGTAGGGGGGTTGAGACATGTCTAAGGATTTGATATGCTTGCAGCTTGGTTTTGGGTGGTCATGTTGTATAGAAGCTGTGATGTGAGGACTAGCCTGGAAGATTGGACGTGGAGGGTGACGTTCTTTGATTGTTAGAGCCACAAGAAGAGTTGCATGAGCACTGTCGGGTCTTCTTTTGTGTTCTTTTCGTTTTGCTGGAAGTCAAAGACCATTTTTAAAATGGAAACGATCTGGTTTTGTAGTGTAAAACCCTTAGTGAAACAGCTCGGTTGTTCGGGATTCAGGCTATTAAAACAATGGTGGTTCGACTTCTAGGGATTTGGTTTTGGCTCCATTCTTCCAACCCACTGCTGCCGTGCCACCTACCGTGCCGGACGCCGTGCCCGGCACCGCAAACGCCGACGCACAGCCGACGCGCAGGCCAAGGCCTCCACGCGTCGCACGCAGCACATGGAGCCGGGGGAAGACTTGACAGCCACTCCCTCCTCGAGAACCTCCAGATCTGCGCGAGGCGCGAGACGACGGAGTCGGACGCAGAAGGGGTCGGGTCAGCGGGACGCGACATGTTGCGCGACTTGCGCGACAAGGGGGGAAGACACGCTTTTCTATCTTCAACATATATTGTTTATAGTCTGCATTATATATATATACACAAGTTTCGGAATTGTTGCGGAGCCGCAGAAGCATGTCTGTTCATCGATCAACATGCCAAGATAGAAGTATTATATAAATTATAGCCTACAGGTCAAAGACCTCATTTTAGTATAGATGATCATACAAAAACATTACTCAGCAAGATAAAGGATCAGGTTTCACTGGGTCTTTGCACTTGTAGGGTATTCATATTGGCGACCAAAGGGGCTTGTTGTTGGGGCGTCATTGACACCGTGTGTGAGAGTTCCTCCTGCAGCAAGGGCCTCCTCCCTCCGGTGACCTGCAGGTTCCCGTGCTTCTCGGAACATGATCGACAAGACGTCGCCCGAAGGGCCTGGGAAGGGCGAGTATTGAGTTCTGGGACGACGTGAGGGAGATCGCTGCATGGAATTGATCGCGTCGAGGGTGAGAGAGAGAGAGAGAGCTTGGTGCTGAAGAGTCGAGGTTTCAATGTGAATGCATTTCGCAAGGGACCTGCCATGGTGCACCTGCCATGCAAAGAGCAGACAAGCACCAGAGCCCCTGAGCTTTGTGTCCGAAAAAAGAAGATGAACACAAATGAACACTGTGAGTGTTTGTGTGTTTGTCCCTGAGCTGGTCATGTGTTTTCCTCAATCATGGAACATGGCTTTACATGGCATTAGAGCAATGAAAGATATTTTTTGCTTTACTGTATTTTTTCTGCTGGCTCAAGCATGTGAGATCGCACATGATAATCCGCCAAATGGTCTCATGGAAACAATTGGTAAACATTTGCAAACATGGATTCCCTGCTACTTAAGGCACCTGTTCAAAAGAACTGGCTGGCGTTGGAATCAACCGTGCAAAATCATCTGCAATTCCGTATGGCTGAGTGTTTTTTTGAGGTGGCCAATGACTACAATGACTACAATCTGATAGGCGAAGGAGTTATGAGATGTTATGGGCAAAAATATACTGTACTCCAATAGACTGAGTTGCAGTACTAATATGAGATTGTACATAATTTGTATCAATAATAAGATATGCAGATATATGCAGTGAATTAATGTATTACTGCAGTCCTCTAAGTGCAGCCAAGATCTGCACCTGGAATCAGCTCTCGGCTCTAGCACCTTGGCCACGAAGAAACGCGCGCCGTCGCGATACAGATGCACTGGGGCAGGGTCCTCCACCATCGTTGTTTTTTTGGGTCTTCCACACACCCGCTTTTTTGGACCGCCGTTGGTCGCAGGAGGCTACAAGAAGTGGCCATGGTTTTGGAGCCAGAGTACTACAGTGTTGCGCTGGGAGGGTCGTGCGAGCTCCGAGCCCCTTTGACTGATCTTGGGGGCCCGTGGTGGTTCTCCCTCAACTCGCACGGAAGGGCGGGGGGAGTTTGGGACTCCGCGCCAAGGCGCGAGGAAGGAGAGGACATGACCTACTCCCCGAATGTCCCCGGGCGACCAAGCGGCTGCACCTTTTGGTGACCGGGCGGACAGGTGGAACGACTCGACGGAGGTGGAAGGATAATAGAGATGGCCTCCAACCTACTAGCGATGGCCTCCAACCTAGGGGAGATTGGACTTCTTTGGCACCAAAGACCCTCAGTCAACTTGATGCTGCTCCTGAAGGCCCCGTAAAAACAGCAGGAACAGCTGCTCCTTGTGGCGCAGATGTGTCCGGATCACCAGTCGTGTCCGGATCACGAGTCGCACGAAGACGTTTTTGCTACATTTCGGGTGTGTGAGACTCGCGATTCTCCGGCCACGTTTAGGCAACAGCAGCAGAACTCATAACAAGGAACAATCGCTGGGTTTGGGAGATTCATTGGGTGAGCCTTCCATGTTTTTTGCACTAGTGCCATCTCTGCTGATGCACCAAAGAAAACACTATATATATATATATATTAGTGTTTACGTTCCTACTTACTTTTTTCTTTTGCGAAGTGAAGGAAATTCCCGAAACGAGGTGCCCTAGTCAGACCATTCTTTTGAGTGTTGTTGACTCGCAGGGTATATATATATACACACTATACATAGATGTGCACTTCTTAAGACTCATGACTCATGTTAGGTTGAATAGTCTAGCATCTTCGGAAGCAGTACATTCCTACCCCTTTGGAGGTCGCTGTTCTCGGATCAAGAGCTCTGGGGGACCTCTGAAGAGGTGACCCCCCCTGGGTTGCTGAATTGACCTTTACAGGCGCCTGTGGTAGCTGTGGCTTTGAAGATGGCATAAAGATATGAGGCTGAAGGCACTTCCTCCACTTCCACATCATCCCAGTCGACAGCTCCGTCAGTCGAGTAGTTGATGCACTTCCCATGACCATTGTCCGTTTTGAGCAACCCCCGTCGTCATGGACCTGCAAAGGTGTCTTGGCAGGGGAAGACCTTGGAACCATAGCAATCCGAATACATGAGACCCTGGAAGTCCAGTCGACCATTTTTCAATTGGTCTGGACTCGGTGGCCCGAGTCCGTCCTTTCCGACCATGAAACAGAAAGATCATCGAGCTGGACGTCGGTCGGAGCTTTTTCCACACTGACGACCCATACCTGTACCCATACCGGAGGCTTTTCATACCCTTCTGCACCCCGCACCTGGGCCAATCCAACCTCCACGCTGTCGGGCGCGCTCCGACCCTCGCGATGGTCGGTCGCGATGGAGTGCGATGAACTGCTGCGCTCCAACGGCCTGAGCGATGACGGTCAGCCTGAGGCGACGGTGGAAGCGGTCCGTGGGTCGGGGGGAAGCGGTCGGTGGGTCCGTTGAGGGTAGCGGTCGACCAGGTCGACAGCGAAGTGGAGTTGAGATGAAAGACGGCACGAAGACGGAGAAAGGACGACAGCGAATTCCATGGACATGAAGCTGCGAAGTGTGGGGTTTTTGGAACTACAGTGTGCTACAGTCTGCAGTTCACGATGTTCAAACACGTTCCGCCCTCCCAGTTCACGTGGCCAGGTTCCTGTTTCAGAAGACCAGCCTTGCCCCAAACCAACACGCTAGATTCAGGACTGTCGAACTTTCCATCGCCCAACGTCCCAGTTCACCCAAGCCTTTCCGGACTCTGTGCGTTTGCTGATCTGACGATCGTTCGGTGGGACCCTTCTTCGGGCACTTGAAATCACTGAAATCCCTGAAATCATTTGAGGTGGAAAAAGGACCTGAAGGGACGCACGCCAACTATGTCACATGTCAGCACACCGACCCGAACAGGGCAGCGAAGGCACGCCACGGTCCCTGATCCTGGTGGCGGCCGAACGGCGCGGGCGCCGTGCCGCCCGTAGTGGGCGGCCGCCTTGCGGCGTTTGCGGCCCTGGCCGGCTGGTGGCACTGGCGGTCGGCCTCCTCCTCCTCCTTGTTGGAACTTTGGGGGGCCGAACTGCTGGAGATTGGAGGGCTGACAATGTGACTGCCGAGAGCGGAGCGCCGCGCTTGGAGCACGCGAAGGTCTCCATGGAGGCGAACGTGGAAAGAGTGCGTGGTGAACACGCGATGTTTTGAAGAGTGTGGTGCTTTCCATGGTAACCTAAGGATCCTAAGGAAGGAGTATTTGAGAGTGAGCAAACCCAATGATTGGCTTTGTTCTCTTCAGTCCTTGTTTTGGCTGGATAGAGTGAGGTTGTTGGTGATAAGGCCTCGACCTGGAATGCGCATGACCTGGGAGGACCTGGGAGCACCGCACACGCACACGCACTGGATTCTTTTAGCATGTCAGGATCAAAACGGCAAACAAACTGCTGCCAGGAGCATCGGTTCGGGATGGCCCAAAAAACTTTTACAATCTTTTGCTCACGACTTCCATGGGGCTTCCAAAAAGGGCTTCCACTTGGCTTGTCCTTAGGAACGGACTGTGCACTACTGGCCCCCCCAAATGGGGAAGGTCTTAAGGTCCCTGGCCGTCTGCCGAACCACCGGTGCCCGCGAACGGACCGAACCCGGTGCCCGCGAGCGCTGTTCGCGATCTGCACCAGGTGCAGCTGCAAGAGGCGGCCGGGTGTCCAGCGGCCGATTGGCAGATGGGGCGGATGGAGCCACCGATGGTCGAAGACGAGAGGAAGGAAGGTCGGCCTGTGGAAACCCTGAGAAGGTCGACCTGGGGATTTCCCCACCTGGAAAGGTGTAGCGGCGTAGCGTCAAATCCGTAAAACCATGATTGTTCGGTAAAGATGTATTGAAATCAATGGTGGGCCAGGAAGCATAGGGAATTGAACAGTTTTAACCATGGGTTGATCTGAAACCGATGATAAGACCATGGTACCATACAAAACGACAACTGTGATTTAGAGAGAACACCAGCTTGTCTTCCGAACTTGCATGGTGTTTTACATTGGGTTTCTTATTTTCCAACACGCTCACGTTTGTCCGAGCAAAGAAGGCATGTTATGCCTTTTGGTTGAGACACTGAGAGACCTGTGAGTGAACCTACTGAGGTTTGTGGGGAGTTTGTACAATGCACCCCCGGAGCTGTAAAGCCTCTCATACCTACCACTGTCCCTATCACAACGACCACGACCACTACCACTACCACAACGACCACCACCACAACCAC